ACCATTGCGGGACGAAGAACTGAGAATGAGGGTACGTCGCTGTGTACCGTATCATTCCACGCGTATACCCAGAATTCCCATTCCTCTTAGCCGCACAGGTCAAGAAAGTAGTTCGGCATCGACCGCTCAGAAACTGCGCCTTAACGGTGCGCATTCCGTGTTGTGCGAAAAGCGTTCCCTGAGAGAAGAACCGCGTTTTTATAGCGAAAATGCGTTAAGCGAGAACTTACCACATATCAATATTCTCATAACTGTATGTGGCACTGTGTACACATTCACAGTACATTAGTCAGACACGGTATACAGTACATTCACAGGGTGTTTGTGTTGGTCCAGAGCCTCGACCAACCGTCACCCGTGGCTCGCTAGCCGATGAGAGACAAACGGCCATGTACAATCAGGGCAGCACCGCAGTGGTTGTTACACTCATGTCTCGCAGTTAGTAGAAGTGGCTGGGTTCGATTCCTGATTCAGGCACCCTTCTGTGTGGAGTTTGTGTTTTCTGGTGAAAAAAATAAGAATAGGCTTTTACCCCTTCTGGAGTTGTGTTAAGATGTTCCAACACCAAATAGGCATCAAGTCTGCATAAACCACACACAGCAGCGTTCACTCAAGCGCTGTCTTCAGCAGCGTTCACTCAAGCGCTGTCTTCTGGACAGACCTGTTTCTTCACCTGAAGAAGGCTACTTGTGTTGTGGCCGAAATTTCGTGAGAATTGTATTTTATTTTATTATGTTTTATTTTTATTATTTTATTTCCATTCTACGTGACTTTACCGAAAGAACCAAGAAGATAAACCACACACACTTGCGGCAAAACATGCAAACAAACATGCTCTGATAATGTGTGCATTGTCTTTGGCCTACACCAGAGACAGCCTTCTTTATTGCCTTGTCCTCACCAGTGTTAGTAGGCTAGAGAACGCCAAAAGGCAAACAGTACAAAGACAATGCAAGTGTCAAAGTATTAACCGCTCTGGTTGAGCAGTTTTACCTATGGGACCTTTTTGCCCTCCTGTTCTGCATGGGTTTCCTCCCACGATCTCGGGTTTCCTCCCATAGCTTAGATAACACTATGTAACACAATTCTTGTCCCTGGGTACTAAGTGTTATTTTGTAATTGCTTATGCCTAAAAAGTATAGAAAATGGCTATTATTCCCCACAAACTTTGTTTTGTGACCAGGACAGTGATATTTTGAAATGTACTTATTTTGAATGAGAAAACGGACGAATTTGTGTTTTTTCGTTCACATAAAGTCAGAAAAAAACAACATATGAATCAAAATTAACATGTATTTATACTAAAGTAATACAAAAATGACTACAAAAGATTTACAAGTGAGTAGTTTTTCGAGATTTACGATTATACTGTAAATCACTTTCACGAATCAGCCCCCAAATGTAGTCTCCCATCATGTTCTCGTTTTACTGTCCTTGGTAGCGGCGTTCAAAGTTCAGTATATCCTGGTGGAAGCACTCGCCTTGCTCCTACGAGTACGCTCCCATGTTCTTGAATTTATCAAGATGAGCATCAAGGATATGGACTTTGAGGGACATCCTACATCCCATTGTGCCGTAGTTCTTCACCAGAGTCTCAACCACATAGTTTTCGGCCTCGTGATTGCCCAGGAAGCCCCGAACCACTGCGAAAAAGCTGTTCCAAGCCGCTTTTTCCTGATCAGTGAGCTTCTTGGGGAATTCATTGCACTCCAGGATCTTCTTTATCTGTGGTCCGACGAAGACACCGGCTTTGACCTTTGCCTCAGACAGCTTAGGGAAGAAGTCTTGAAGGTACTTGAAGGCTGCCGACTCCTTATCTACAGCTCTGACAAATTGTTTCATTAGGCCCAATTTGATGTGCAGCGGTGGCATCAGCACCTTCTGGGGGTCCACCAGTGGCTCCCACTTGACGTTGTTCCTCCCCACAGAGAACTCTGTCCGCTGTGGCCAGTCCAGCCTGTGGTAGTGCGCCTTGGTGTCCCTGCTGTCCCACAGGCAAAGATAGCAGGGGAACTTGGAAAAACCGCCTTGGAGACCCATCATGAATGCCACCCTTTTGAAGTCTCCGATGACCCCCAGCCATACTCATCATACTTCAAGGCATCCAGCAAGGTCTTGATGCTGTTGTAATCCTCTTTGAGGTGCACCGAGTGAGCCAGGGGAAGAGACGGGTACTTGTTACCATTTTAGAGCAGCACGGCTTTGAGGCTCCTGAGCTGCCACTCATTCTGGTTACAGGCGATTCCAATTGCCTTGAACAGACTGGTCACATTGTGGCAGAAGCAGAGCCCATCTTTACGGGTGAAGAAGCTGGAAAAAGGTTGGTGACGCTTCCTCTGATCTGCGACTTGCACACTTGCATCCAACAAGTTCCACTGCTTGCGCCTAAACGTCAAAGGCCCGGCATTGGATTTGGTGAGACCAAGATCTCTGATCAAGTCGTTGAGGTCTTTTTGGTTGGGGTAGTATGGGTTTCTCTCCTCAGCTCCACCTCTGAAATTGTCATCTGGATTTACGTCTTCCTCGCTCTCTGACTTGCTGCTTTCTTCTCAAGATGGCTGCTCTCTCTCCGGAGGAGTGGGTACAGGGAGCTCATGGCAGTGTGGCACCGGGGCAATGGATGAAGGTCCGCATACATGATAGCAGGTGGATTCTTGCCAGTCCGACGTTTAGAAGGGTCCACCATGCAGAAGTAGCAGTTCCTTGAGTGGTCAGTGGGTTCCCGCCAAATTCTTGGGATAGCAAACTTCATGGCTCTCTTTTCCCCTCTGTACCATCCTAAAAAAATACATTTATTTCACCCATGACTAATGTGTAAGAGATTCTCCAAACATTTTCATGTATATTTTTTCAATACCATTGAAAATTGTGAAACATTTTAAACTTAAAAACTTTTACGATTTTAAACATTTTAACAAATTTTATAACGTAAAATTCCGAGCAACAATTGTCCATCTTACCTTCTGGAGTCTTTTTTGCATTGTTCGCAGGTGAAATGATGTGCCCAGGGTTTGTCTTGATCCCCAACAGGCATGCCGAAATATGCCTTGTAGGCCTCACACACCTTAGCAGATGCTTCCACAGCAAAATGTGTCTGCCGGATGCTTGCATGCAGCCTCTTGATGCCATCTCAGAAAAATGCAGATATGTTTATCCACTTAGGCAGCTGGAACTAAACTGAACTTGTGAGCTTAAGGCCCCTGTATTTATACCACTATATTACTTGAAAGTTCTCGAATGTTCTAGAAGTTACTCCAAGTTTACTCAGCACTGAATCTATCTGGAATGTTCTGGAAAATAGGTAAATTTCAAAATATCACTCTTGTGGTCACAAAAGCAAAGTTTGTGGGGAATAATAGCCATTTTCTGTCCATTTGAGGCATAAGTGGTTAGGAAATAACACTTACTACCTAAGGAATTTTTTTTTTTTTACACAGTGTAACCGCACAATGTAACCGGTGTTGGCCGAACTTCCCGATGCTGAAAAATTGCCTGTAAATGACTCGATTAGGATCACACACTGCAGCAGCAACAGCATCCTCATCAGTCCCTTCTGCGAAAACTTGCAGGAACCCTACTGACGAAGACGCTCAAGACTCGGCAAAGTTTTCTAGGGTAAACAAATGTAATTCTGATAATTTGGAAACAACTTTTCAGATTGCCCCTCCATTTCTAATGATGGCCCTCAGCCATCAGTGCCTGGCCTACTGTTGTTCCCTTGTTTTGCAAAATAGTATTCATAATAGAGGTTTTTTTGGGTTAAACACGCCACAACATTTATATATTTATTACGCGATCTAACCCAAAAAATCTCTTATGGATGATATTGGTCGCGAAAGCCTACATGTTAAACCAAAACAGTATTGGCTCCAAATGCACTCATTCCGCGCTTAATTTTTATGCCAATTATTTTCATTATTCCGCTTATTTGCCTAGGAAAGCCTCACTGGGTTTGAAGACTTTTTTTCAGGAGGGTTCTGCCAAGTTGGCGCGGGGGGGGTGATGTTTCTGCTGTTAGTCTGATCCCAAGTGAGCCAGTTGCGTTACCGCTGCACTTGCCAGCCGGCGGCCCCTGAGGCATGACACGCCATACAGCAGCTGCCTCTGTCAATGAATTTCATTCACAATTCCAACTGGATTTTAGTCGGAGGATGCCAGCAGTCTCTCACCTCCTGCTTGATCAACGCAGGCAGGCGAGAGGTTTCCATATCCTTTGTGAGCTCCCAGTCTGGCTGTGAAACTGAACCCACGTGTAATATCACCAATCGCTCATGTTTACCCGCAAATTACTCGATTGGGAAGCGCAGAGCAATTGTCTCCCCCGACTACACGAATACCAAATAATAATAATAAGCATGCCGACTTGTAACGTGCCGTTGCCGCACAGTATTTGCTCGCTCTCAACGAGAGAGAACGACTCATCATAATTAGAATATGTATTTATACTGGAGGAATCTGATGAGCTATGTAGCTCTTTTTCACGGATGTCCAGTAGAGACGGGGAGGAACCACAGACAATCGAAAAGGCAGCAGCCAGGTGGTGAGGTGGCCCAAAATTTTCCTCCCTCAAGCTCTACAGTCCTCTATATATTAACGTGTTATTGGCCAATTAATGAGTGTTTATACATGTAGGGGGCACCTGGAGAAAAGCCACACATGCGAGGGGGCAACACTCTATTCCGTACACAGGGGACAGATGGAGATTAAGCTGCACTTTGCTGTACCGCCTTCTCCTGGCATGCCAAGGTACACAACATCTGTGCAGTGATCCACCAAAACCTGCACTGCCGCCACCGCCGCTCGGCTCGTACCGTACTCGTGATTCGACTAGAACGGGTTCAGCAAGAGGGTTCTGGAATCGAATCTTTCCCCCAGATTATGAGCGTTCATCAAGTCACAAACCTCCCGCGTCGCTCGTCTGCGGCTCCTGCAGGACCTGGCATTGTGAGGGCGTGCGCGTGACTGAGCCTTGGCCCGCGTGTTGTGTGATGCCCCTGCAGATGAGGGCTACCAGAAGCTGGCGTTGGAGACGATGGAGGAACTCGACTGGTGCCTGGACCAGCTGGAGGCCGTGCAGACGCACCGCTCCGTTAGCGAGATGGCCTCCAACAAGGTGCCCTCCGAACCCAGCACCGCCATGAAGCAGCAACACCAGAGTTCTTGCATCGCCACTAGCAGCAGCATCATCACCCCTAGCATCATAGCCAGCAACATCACCGCCAGAAGCAACATCAACATTGATACAGTTAACATCACCAGAGCCATCGGCACGAGATGAACCGTCAATATACCAGCTCCATCAACACGGCAACCATCGGCGTGGGCACGCGTGTCTGTGAGAGAGGACTCGTGCAGTGCGTGCGAGTGTGTTTGCGCGCTTGCGTGTATGTGGGGAGCAGTAGCGGAGAGGTTAACACACTGCTACGAACCTGGGGACCTGAGTTCGATTCCCCCTCAAGGGTAACACCAGTGACGATTATATGAGAACCGATTCTGGGCCTCCCCTAAGTCGACTCAACCTCAAATGAGTACCTGGTGCGGTGTGTAAACATCACCACCTGCCCCCTCGTGTGCTGGTCTTCATAGGTGCTCGCTATCAGCGCTTGCCCCAACAGTCTGTTAAGGCTACACGGGGGGATCTTTGTTTTTGTCTTTGCAGTTCAAGCGAATGCTGAACCGGGAGCTGAGTCACCTGTCGGAGATGAGTCGCTCGGGGAACCAGGTGTCCGAGTTCATATCCAGCACCTTTATGGGTACGCCGCCTAGCGCCTTGCACGGGTTCCCCCACGGGCCCCCTCACGGGCCCCCCCACGGGCCCCCACACGGGCCCCCACACGGGCCCCCACACGGGCCCCCACACGGGCTCCCCACCCACCTTCTCGCGTGATTAGCACTTGCCCCAACAGTCTGTCGCAGGCTATACGGGGGATCTTCGCCATTGGTGTGCGAGTTGGGGCTAATCCGGTGTGTGCACGCACGAGCGTGGGGGGGGGGAGGTTCTCTGTGACGCGCCATGCCGCCGCTTCTTGCAGACAAGCAGCACGAGATGGAGGTGCCCTCAGCCGGTCACAAGGAGAAGGAGCGCCAGCGGCGCCCCCTCGCGTCGGGGGGCGGCGTGGCGGCGGTGGGGGGGGCGGCCCCCGCCGTGCCGTCGCAGCTCGCGGCCGGCGTGTCGCACATCAGCGGGGTGCAGCGCTTGCTGCACGGCGCTGCGATTCTGCAGCGGGCGAGCATCCCGCGTTACGGGGCGCCCACCCAGCACGAGGAGCTGCTCGCCAAGGTGAGCCTCGTCTCGACCCCCGCCACCCACACGGCCGCACTCGCCACCACCACTATGCACACGGCCATTACTACTACCACCACCACTGCCACCACCCACACTGCCGTTCTCACCATCACCACCACGCACACAACCCATCATCTTTACAAACCCTCACTAGTGAACTACTCTGGCAGGTAGACATGCGCTGGCTGGGTCACGTAACCTGCGTGCCCAGTCGCTGCATGCCCTAACTTACCCAGTGGCCGGATGGAGGTGGCTCAAGAGTTGCGGTGCAGGCTAGAGGGGAGATGACCAGATGTGGAACGGGAGGTGAGAGGTCTTGCCGAGCAACAGCTGGTAGCAGTAGCATCCTCGTTCGTGTCAGCCCTCATGAAGGAGGCCATGAATTCGGTTTCTGGGCAGCTGCTGCCCTCTGGCACAACAGGAGGCAAGAGCATAGATGCTCACAACAGAGAGGTTACAAAGTGGGGGAGCAGTCTCCCTGCTCTGTTAACCCACAATACTGGGGTTGTCTCGTGGCCTCCTCCCTGTGAGCCTCCAACACGCTACATGGTGTCATTATGCACATTGCCTGGTACAGGTGTCGGGGCGAGGTCACCGCCACTTTGTGGTAAACAGTGGCTCTGCGCTGCTGCTGTTGCAATGGTGGATTTGATGATGACGATGTTGATGATATTCCGTGATGCGCTTTCTCAGGAGCTGGAGGACATCAACAAATGGGGTATCAACATCTTCCGCATCGCCGAGCTATCCAACAACCGGCCACTCACCGTGCTCATGTACACCATTTTCCAGGTGTGTGCACACGCTCGTCACATTGCAGCGCTGCTGCCAACGTCCAGGCACCGTCCACCGCGGTCGCCTTTACAGACAACGGAACCACGTCCTGTCCGGACCGAAGCCGCGGGTCACACCGGAGACCTTATCTCCAGGTGGTGCATGGACAGGCCCGGTTCCTCTCAGATTGGCGGGCAAGGATGTGAGGGGGGGGTGGGGCAGTCGAGCCGTTGTGTGGGGAGCCATCACGGCAGTGGATCACACCGCTAAGGAGCAGAGGGAACCTGGTGCCAAAGGGACGTTCGGTGCTGCAGGGCCCACCCAGCAGTAGCAGCAGCTCCCTGGCCCCGGCCCTGTGCACGCCCTGGGCCCAGCGGCGGGGTTGGCGATGCCCCAGAAGGCGAGAGGCTCTCTTGCGATGCGGTGGGGTTCCTGCGGGAGGCAGTGAGTGGGTTTTTATGAACCCAGTGTACGTGTGTATGGTGAACTCATTTTGCACCGTACGTAGCCAACCTTGCTAATCGGAGGTGCGATGTTTGCAGGAGCGAGAGCTGCTCAAGACGTTCCAGATCCCGGCGGACACGTTCGTCACGTACATGATGACGCTGGAGGACCACTACCACGCCGGCGTGGCCTACCACAACAGCCTGCACGCCGCCGACGTGGCGCAGTCCACGCACGTGCTGCTTGCGTCGCCCGCGCTCGACGTGAGACGCCTCCACGAACGCGCGCTCACCCGCTTGCTCGCCCGCTCGCCCTCTCACAGATTCACTCGCACCCTCTTACACTCGTGCTTGTTCACACATACACGCCACTCACCCCTTCGTGCATTCACACATTTACTGCTCGCTCACATCTCCTCTCCCTAACATGCAGCCCTATCCACCACGCCTGTGAGATGCACTTATGGGAGGAAACCAGAGAACCTGGAGTAAACCCATGCAGAATAGAAGAGAACATGCAGACTCCACACAGAAAGGCGCCCGAGCCAGGAATCGAACCCAGGATCTTCTTGCTATGAGGCGCGAGTGTTACCACTGCGCCACCTTGCCGCCCACTTTGACAAATATAATGCTTGGCTGTGGAGATGAGTGGGGGCGCGGTAGCAACGGTGGTGGCGGTGTGTGTTGCGGTTAGTGGCGGTAGTATAGCGGTTAGGGCGCTGCACTACGAACCCAGCGACCCAGGTTCAATTCCCGCTCACGGCCAACACCAGTAACGATTATCTGAACCGGTCTTGGGCCTCCTCTAGGTCGACTCGGCCGCAAATTAGTACCTGGTACGGTGTGTAAACATCGCCACTGGCGAGACAAAGGCTGACGGGCGTAGTACTGGCCACCCACCCCCTCGTGTGCTGTGCCGGCCATCATAGGTGCTCACTAGCAGCACTTGCCCCAACAGTCTCTTAAGACTTTACGGGGGATCTTTGTCTTTTTGGTAGTGGCGGTGTGTGTGGGGGTGGCAAAAACAACCCCCTGAGCGGACTTGTCAAAGATTGGTACCGGCATTGTCAAGATCGGCCTCTGTGGAGGAGACTCGTGAAGGATCCTACTGGACAGTTGGAGGCAGTCGCCTTCCAGAAACAACGGAGGGCAGAGGAGTGATGCTCACAACAACGAGGGGAGCACCAGGTGGCTAAAACGTAGCAAGTTGGCACAGTAGAGGGTACAGGTGGTGGATCTGCCAGTCATCTCAGTCAGTCAACCCATGCAATCTGGGTCTGTCCCATGACCTGCCAGCGGGCGTTCGCCACGTGCCAGCAGGCATTCGACACTTCACGTGGCCTTAAAGTGAGCATAGCCTGGCACAAGTGCTGTGGTGACACCACCGCCACTTAGTAGTGAATGCCGGTTATTGTTGTTGGTAGTGGCGGTGTTTGTGGCAGTGAGTTTGGTAGCGGCGGTGTGGTAGTGGCGTTGTGTGTGGTGTTGTATGTGGAGGGTCTTAATATATTAATTAAATTCATTGATTCTCGTAAGCTCATGTCTAGGGGTTTTCTTCCATCAATTATTGGGCCTTCTCCACAACGGTCACCCGGTTCATAGATCCGTCCAGCAGTACAGGCTTCTTCAAGCAATATGACTCGGAAACAGAAAGAAACCACTCGGACACTGATTACACTACAAATCTGAGTATTTAATAGATCAAAGCATCAACTAGTTTCATATTCACGTGAACTCTGCATCATTATTCTTCTTCAGTATACATGAAAAAACATGCGACCGGCCGAAGCAACCATACGAACGAACATATAATTAAAAATATGAATGTCTAGGTGTATAATCGGCTAACCTATGAGCCCTCTAAAGTGTACTCCCCCCTCCCCCTTTTTAGTGATGTAAGTGATGTTATTATTAGAAGAGATCTGTTACAAGGCAACCATTAAGATGCTCCCTCCGTGAGCGAGCAGCAATACCTCCTTCGCACAGGTGATGTTAAGGCAGCAGTCTCTCAGTCTCTCGCCGCTCTTGGCTTGGAATCATCCAAACAGTCTGCAGCTGGCCACGCCTCTGCATGCACTGTCTCAAGGCTGCCAGCGAGAAGTTGCCAGCGAGCAGTTCGCTCCTTCAGTGTGTGTGCTGCATCGGAGCCCCAATCGCTGACAAGGCTCGCAGTTGTGACCACTGGTCGTGCCCGTGCTGGCGTACGGCAGATGCCCGTCACTCCGGCCGGCAGAGCCCCTCGCGTTGGCTTCGGTGTCAGACATGAAGGTTTCTGCACCACACTCAGACCTTTCACCTCTCAGGCGACGAATCAGACTCGGTACACATCCAACAGTGGCGTGAGTGTGGTAGTGGCGGTGAGTGTGATAGTCGCGGTGTGGGCGGTGTGGTCTCCGCCGTGACGTTTTGCTCCGCTGTTGCGTTGTGGTGGCGACAGCAGGCGGTGTTCACGGACCTTGAGATCCTGGCGGCCATCTTCGCAAGCGCCATTCACGATGTCGACCACCCTGGCGTCTCCAACCAGTTCCTCATCAGCACCAGTGGGTGGCGCTCACCCACGCACGCACACTCGTATGTGTCTGAGTGTGTTTGTGTGTGTGTGGGGAGCGGTAGTGTAGCGGTTAGCGCGCTGCCCTACGACCCCGGCGTCCTGAGTTCGATTCCTCCTCAAATGAGTACCCGGTGCGGTGTGTGAACATCACCACTGGGGAGATAAAGGTGGCCGGGCGTGGTGCTGGCCACTCACCCCCTCGTGTGCTGTTGCCCGCCTTCAAAGATGCTCGCTAACAGCACTTGCCCCAACAGTCTATACAGGTATTACGAGGGATCTTTGTTGTGCTTGCATGCGTACGAATTTGCGAGTGCGAACGTGAATGTGCGCGCGCCTCTGCTCGACCAGACTCGGAGCTGGCGCTGATGTATAATGACGAGTCGGTGCTGGAGAACCACCACCTGGCCGTGGGCTTCAAGCTGCTGCAGGAGGACAACTGCGACATCTTCCAGAACCTGGGCAAGAAGCAGCGGCAGACGCTGCGCAAGATGGTCATCGACATGGTGACACACGCGCACACTCGCCAATACTCGCATGTACAGTTACACCAAGCTCGGCAGTGACATGTGCATGTCACTGCCGATACTGTTGATGCCAACGTACCTCACTATCGCTTTCCTCCATCTGCCACATTCCAGCACCCAACCATCAAGGTCTGCTTTTACAGTTTCCCGCCATCTGCTTGGTGGCCTCTGGGTGCCACTCCAATCCCCATCTCGTCTCGGTGATGATCTGCCCTCCTCCGCCACCCTGCACATGAGTCCCACCCATCACAACCTCCTCTCTCCTCATTACCTCTACAACACATCCTTGTTACATAATTTTTAGAACGTTCTTACCTTATCATGCCACTAAATTACCAGCAACTTGCAGCTATATTTAAAAGACAGGAAGTTATTTTCTAATTAATTTATTGCCTGTATTTGGGAATCACGGTGTGTGCAACTTCTTCTCCAGTTGTTGCTTAGGGTCACCCTTCAGCGGTGGTTCCCATGAATCCGTATCTGGTGTCAGCTTCACCTGATGTACTTCAGGCTTCTTCAAGCCGAGTTGGGGGTTCATGATGATGGGAATCTTGTGTTAGTGCAGTCGTGCCTGAATAAAGTTTAAAGAATTAACTTTAATCAATGCTGCGGGAACCTCACATCTGTCCCAATTGCTTTGATAACCAGGCTCTCTTACCCACGCAATGATAGTTAAAAACGCCCTTCTTGTTAATTTCAAAAGGTTTACCTCTCTGCAGTTGCTGCATCTCCCGCTCTACACACACACACACACGCACCCCCGCCTCCATCCCACCACCCACTATGAACACCTGCGCTGGCTCGAGCCTCATGCTGTGCAGGCCCTCCTGGGGTGTGAGTGCAGTCGTAATTGTGTGAGAAGTTAGCGGAAGCTTGAGGCGCAAGACCGAGCGCTCCCAGTGGGGCACCGCCGGCATGCAAGGTCGTGCTGCCTGCATTGTGCGGCGCTCGCTTGCTCGATCATCTCATGCGCAATCACGTTTGTTTTTTGGCGACGAGCATTGGAACAGATGCAGCGCGGGTTTGCGGAGAGACACAGCCCGCCAGTAGCGCATCAATAACTTGCTTTCAGAGGCTGATGGTTAATGCTGCGGGGGTTTTGCCGTGAACTTCTACGCGCCGTCTGCTTTGCGTTGGACCTTATAGGTGCCCCGACGTCATGCGAAACGAGTAGGCCTCTGTGTACCGGCGTCATGGTCAGATTTAAAACGATTACTCATTCTGGATTGTGCATATCAGCAAGAATTGTCCGCTACTGGCAGACTCGTGGCCTGCTTGCAGGCCAGGTGCTGAGTCACCATGTGCTGCTCAGGGACAGCTGCCACTGAGTGCCCTTTGAATGTACGCGGTGGGATGTGATGCAAGGCGCTTTGAGTTGCAAAGGCATTTAATCAATTGTCGTATGAAGCAAGGATAACTTATTTTGTGAAGTAGTGCCTCAGGATCTGTATCTGAATAGACTTGGCCATAGATGATAGCCCTCGCATCATCAGGACTGCCCTCTGTTGTAGATGTTTGTGAATTACACGAATGTGCATCTGATAACAACCACCTTCCCATTCACAATAGTGGATGAGCGATGCTTGCATCAATGAGTATAGCATATGACAGCTGAAACACATTTTTTATTTATTATTACACTTCTTTACTCAGAAAAGCCTTTTACATTGTGTTGTCCCAATGTACGTGTCACCCCAATTTAGAAATTGGCAGTGTCATGTTTCAGCATTGGGATGTTTTGGCCACTACTCTTTACATTGTGTAGATTATTTTTTTTGCTACAAGAGGAGGAAACCGAAGAACCCGGACGAAACCCAATGTAGAATAGTGGGAGATCATACAAACTCCACACAGAAAGGTGCCCGGGGTCAGGAAATCGAACGCAGGCCAGGCACGACCATTATCACTGTGCGACGCTGCTACCCATAGCGTTTGACATTGTGGAGCCCAAAGCTGATGCAGCTGCCACTCGGCTGCGCACCGTTGCCCATTGGCGACCGTCGGCTGCTGTTGCCGGTAACGCCTGCGCGTGTGTGCGCACGCAGGTCCTGGCCACGGACATGTCGAAGCACATGAATCTTCTGGGCGACCTCAAAACAACCGTGGAGACCAAGAAGGTGACGTCTTCTGGTGTCCTGCTGCTCGACAATTACACGGACCGTATACAGGTACTGCGCCTGCCACGTACACATCTACACCTGCCGTAAACCTCTCTGCACGTGCCACATACACAAACGAAGACAAGTTCCCCCGTACTGCCTCAACAGGCTGTTGGGGCAAGTGCTATTAGCAAGTAGCACCTATGAAGGCGGGCATGACACACAGAAGGGGTGGATTGCCAGCACCAGTCCCGGCCGTCATTGTCTCCCCAATGGCAATATTTACACCGCACCAGGTACTCATTTGAGGCTAAGTCGACCTCAGGGAGGCCCAGGACCGGTTTAGATAATTGTCACTGGTGTTTGGCCGTGGGCTGGAATCGAACTCGGGTCGCTGGGTTCGTAGCGCAGTGCGCTAATCGCTACACTACCGCTCCCACATATACATCTCTGCACATGCCATACGCATCTATACGTGCCAAATACATCTCTGCACGTGCGACATACACATCTACACTTGCCATACACCTATACACACACCTCATACATCCCTATTGTGGCTTGTCCGGTGCTCTCCCTCCCATTCTCGCTCTTTCAAGGTGTTGCAGAATATGGTTCACTGTGCCGACTTGAGCAACCCCACGAAGCCCCTGGGTCTTTACCGCCAGTGGACGGAGCGCATCATGGAGGAGTTCTTCCAGCAGGGCGACCGGGAGCGCGAGCGCGGCATCGACATCAGCCCCATGTGCGACCGCCACTCGGCCTCCGTGGAGAAGTCGCAGGTTGGAGAGTGCGGCGCCAGCGGCACGGGCCACGAATTTGCAACGAGGGCCCACGATGATGAGGCGTGCAGGACGTTATACTAAGACTAAAACTAAACTATCTTTATTTTACCAGTTAAGGCCTACTGAGCTATATAATTCATTATCAGAAGCGACCTGGCCACAAATGATCGCTCAACGAAGTGGAAATGTATAGCGGGCCAAATACTCTAAACACATGTTTCTAAATGTGGAGGGAAAAACCGGAGGACCCGGAGATAAAATCCACGTGACCACGGGGAGAGAGAGAGACACGCAAACTACAAATATACAGGGTGGGGATCGAACCCAAGACCTCCTGTATACGGTTCCCCTTTTCGTGACCAGTCCCATCTTTTGTGGGGATGCGGCGATGATGCCCCCCAGTGGCCAGTGCCGATATTTCACGGAGCCGACGGGTGTACGGGGGGGGGTTGTATGGTTGCTGCCGCCCGGCGGCAACGTGGGGAAAAGAAAAGGAATTGCACATACAGAACGACCAGAGTCATGTCCCCCCCACGGACATCGAACTGGGCCATGCCCACCTTCTCCCCGGTCACGAACGTCAAAACAGTGGGCGACGTGCAGCGGATAAACACATCGCTGTGGGAGTGTCAAACTGTTAATTTGCCTAACCTATTTCTTACATCAATATTAACATTGTTACTTGGTTTTGCAAACTGGGATTTATTGAACACAAACCATTGAGTTGAGGAAGCTGGTACTTAAAAGGCATTTTAATCCCCACTGCACTTGCAAGTCACTGTTTTATAATTAATTATTAGAACAATAAGGCTTTGAGCTGCTTTGGAAAATTAAGGTAGGGCACTACTGTAATTTAGCAATCACCACAATTATTGGCCAAAACAGAAGAAACTTGTGTGGCGATGCCGCTTTGCTGCAGCTCCGTTTTCGAGCTCCAAGTCCCTAAAAATCCCTTACCCAATAATATTAATGTTGCTCCCTGGCGGCCTGCCTTCACTGGGGGCTCTATCCCCATGGGGGTACAAAACAAATACGCCTTCTCTTTGTTTAAACAAATGCCACTTGGTCACATAGTCACTTTAAGATGTTTTCTTGTTCGTTTTTTTTTGTTGTGGTTGCACCCGATTCAAGAGCCGAATGGCTCACAGGGCTATACCAAATAAATAAACTGAAACTTGGAAGGCCATTGGGACGATCCGTGAGCCCCCATTTGCCGTGTTTATCGCCGTTTACACTGGCCACATTTTAAAAGTGAGTAATTTCAGCCGAGAATCCACCGGGCGGAGGTGGAGTTGGTGGCTTTATCAGAAGTGAAATCTGTGAGGGTCCCTAGCCAGAGGGCGATACCCCGACTGTGCGCACGTTCTGCTGCCCTCGTGTCCGTGGGCTTTTGCGGTTGACTCGCAATTCCTCCTTCATCAGCCGTCCGCAATCGTCCCCGAACAAAAATGCCGTGAAGTAGCAAGTGCCGGGACTCGCCGAGACCTTCTTGGGTAAACAAAGAATTGTAGTCATCGTGTAGAAGCTAGAAAACAAACTGACAGGAAATGTCACCTTCAATTAAATTCGGAAACGCGCAAGACTTGCGTGTGCGATAACTGTGCCTCTGAATGTTGCCGTTTCATCTTAAATGGGAATGAGATAAGGAAGCCACATTTCTTAATCGGTTAGGGCCTAGTACTCGAGTGGGCCATACCATTCCACCATGGGTTGGTGAAGGCGGGAAGCATAGGAGCGCAGTACAACGGTGTAGATTTCTGAGCTGCTTGCAGTGTAAACCCGATATTACAGCACCTACAAACGAGTACGCACGTGATTTGTAAGCACTCTTTCCAGCTGTGCGCGGATGAATCCTGGGTGGGTTATCTGGACCACACGGCCTTGCGCATGTAGCAGACCGCAGCGCCCTTGCCCGTGCTTCTCTAACCCTGTCTGCCGTCCCCACCCCGCCCAGGTGGGCTTCATCGACTACATCGTGCACCCGCTGTGGGAGACATGGGCCGACCTGGTGCAGCCTGACGCCCAGGAGATGCTGGACACGCTAGAGGAGAACCGCGACTTCTACCAGAGCACCATCCCCAGCAGCCCGTCGCCTCCGCCCGATGAGGGCACGCCCACGCCGCACGGCCTGAGTCCCTCGCCGTCGCCCGGCTGCCACGGCGGAGACGCCGGTAGTGGCGGCGCCGACGCCACCGATGCTGGATCCACCAAGGTGCAAAGCGCGTCCGGCCTGCGCCCGCCCGAGTCGCATTTCCACTTCGAGCTGACGCTGGAGGACGAGGCGGGGCCCGCGGCCATGCGTTCCAAGGGCCCGTCGGCCTTTGACCCCGGCGCCGACCGACTGGTCGGCAGCGGTGTTGGCTGCTGCTGCTGCCTGCAGAGCGGACGAAGGTGTCGCTACGGTGATGGAGAGCATGGCTGCGGACACGAAAATTGCCTTGCCCTGGTTCCCAGAGTGGATGACGATGACGGCGATGATAACGAAGATGACGATGACGACGACGACGATGCACGGACGTTACGGGCGCAGGATTCGGAGTCGCATGACGTGGGGTTCGGGGATTCGGACGATGGGTCATTCAACCACGGCTGAAATCCGCATGCGGCCCGAGCAACACAAGACTTTACGGAAAAAATAATAGTGAAATTTTCTTTTTTTCCACGAGCTTTTCATTTGCACTTTGGGAAAAATGTTGCCCCCAGTGAATGTTATGGATAAATTAAGACGATACTCTGTCATGGTGCAACTGCAAAACGCATCAACGCAGGGGTACGGGGCGGGGGGAGAGACGAGGCAACGGCACGGGGGAGTGGCGACCGCGCCGCTATCCAAGCGCTTCACCCTCACCGCTCGGGATGCAGCGCGGCCCTGGGGCGCCACACAGCAATACGAGTCGAGCACCTCCCTATCGGCGCTTGCCACCGACGTGGAGCACGGAGCGCTCTGCTCGACCCCTTCCCACTCCCCCCCCCCCCCCCCCCCCACCGGAACGACTCGCGTCAAACGCTGGATCTGCCTCCCGCCCCCGCCTTCCCCAAGAGCCTCCCTTCAAGCACCGCGTTTGCCTGGCGCAGCACGCTCACGCGGGTGGCAGCAGCAGAAAGCATTTCTCGGCCTGACGCGCGCGCACGGCCAACGGGCCGGGCGTCACCTCCACAAAACCAGCCTCACGAGTTTTGGACTAGCGAGGAACCCCACTTGCAATTTAGCCTAAACGGGAGCCCGCGGCGCCCATCCGTGGGCTACTGCTGGCGTACTCTTCTGGCCTCTCCCGGGATTGGCCCAACCGATTTGATGTACGGCAGACGGGTCCGATTGATGCAAGCGGCGCTTAACGGTCCGGAGAGTGTTTTACCGCTGCCCTCCACTTGCCTTGGCCTGGTCTTGCAGACCGCTAGCAAACGCTGACATTGTACCTTTAACAAAAAAAGAATCCAGCCTGAGGGAAGCAGCGCACAAATCCGGCAGCAACACACATGGATCCCCGTTAGCGGAGCGGAGGAGACGAAAATCAAAAGAAGCGGAAACATCGCCACGCAACAAAATATTTCTGGGTGTTAGGCTTATGAGAGCCAAGGTGTTTGCGAGCACTCGTGTACCGATAAATACCCCTGTACTTGCACGAATAACTGTCACGGTGAACGCACCTTGTAATAACCCTGCCCCGGTGAGCGTGCAAAGTCGATGACTATAGAAGAACATAGAATATGGTATAATAATATTAATAAGTTGCCTAACATGTTAACCCTGCAGAAATATTTTGTTCGATGGTAAATGTTTTATCTTCCGTAACTTAATCTCATTTCAATGAAGGAGATAAACAGAGAAACTGTGATTGCCTGAATCTCAAGGTTAAAGGGTCACTGAGGGTTAAAGGTCACTTGAGGTCGTGGTGAACACGCCTCGTGACATATTTTCACGCGTTAGTTATTTTCTAATTATTAATATTTTTTAATGTTATTTTAATGTTAAACGTATAATTTAAATAAAGATTTAAATGCTGTTGTGTATCGTAAAAAAACTCCAAAAATGTACAGAGGGTACATACATAAAGTACTTAATAGGGTAACATGCACACACACATATATATAGAGACTATATATGTATTGTATAGATTATCATAGCGTGTATCTACGGTACGAGTTAGCCTCTTGAGAGTGGACACAGTAAACCGTGCTGATGTAGTCACTTTCCCAGTGCTTCCTGTTGTAGCTGTGGGTGCATGCGAGAGCGTGCGCTGGGCGACCCTGTGATTGGGTCGTCTCTGAGCTCTTTGGCCGACCACGGCGTAACTCTGAAGAGCGACGGTGGGGCTTGCGCATGCTGAACGAACGTGGGGCGTGACGTGTAGCGACCGACCCGCACCCCATTCTTGCGGCACGCTTTGCTTTCGTTCCTCCGCGGCCGGGTCGCAGTCCTGCCCCCAGGCCTGCTGCTCTTGTCCGCCTGGGCGAGTAAACTGGGCACATGGAAGGTGAGGTCGTCTCAGCCAGGTCGTAGTGGTGGTGGTGGAAGTTGTGGCAATGGTGCTCATTGTGATCTAATCACTCGGATGTAGGGATGGTGAGTTGCACAGAGATGGAGCCATCACATTGGTGAGCTCTGCAGGTCAGCGGGCAGTGCGTGCGGGCGCAGCACACCGAGTAATTTGCTCGCTCACTGCTGTGCCATTTGATATTTAATCCGTCCTAACTATTGGTTTCTTTCGGCCATCTGGTTTGCTCCCACATTCGAAAAGTACTCGCATAAACAATTCACTAAGCAATCCTAAATGAGTGCCCCGCTGAGAGCAAGTGTTATTTCCACGAAGGCTTTTCGGGATCAATGTAGAAACTGTTTAGTTACCAGCGCCTTGGCACTTAACATTAATGTCATCAGCAAGAAACTGAGATTAGAATGAACATCGGGGTCATTTAAACAGTATGTTTTGACTTGGATCTTGTGAGTTGGAGCACCGCTTAAGTAGAGAATTGATGATGCCGGGAGACAGCTCGGTGGGTAGCGCAACAGGGTCTCCTCGTCGGCTCATCACCACCGCCACCGCCATCGCCTCCCTCTGTGAGGCCCGTAGCATCAGCGCCATCCGGTGTTGGGGGGAAAAGTCAACAGTAGTTGTGCAATAGTCAATCTGGTCCCTTGGCGTAGGCTTGTGGAATTGTGGAATGCCCTCCACTGGCTCTGAGCTACTACAGGAGATGAGCATAAACCTCCTTTGAACACAAGGGCCCCGACTCGCATCTATTCCAGTTTGGTGAAATAATAAACGACGCCAGGGTCATAGTCACGTCCCATTGGAAATTGGCGATACCAGAACTAGCATTCTCCACGAGTCTCTGCACAAATACCGACTCAGTCTGAATGTTTGAAAAGTTAAGAAATGTCCCAATTCCTGGCGTCCTCACGACACCACACGGTGCAGCGATGGCCACTCTCAACGTGCAGTACTTCAGGTGAACGTGGTGTGACATGGTGATTGGCTTGGCTCTATGGCGGGAGTGACTGCTGTTCTGATGATTTGATTTTTAATCTTGTGAGAGGTTTGCACAGGAGGCTGGGTCACTCTAATAATTGGCACTAATCCTGGGACCGGTTTTGTTTAATTCAACCGAAAATTAGAATCAGCTGCCGAAATAATGATTGATGGTAATTGGAGCATTTTTAAACGCACATCCACGTCACAGTTTAGGTTGTTCTGGTTGTGTCGATCCGGTGGTGGTGGTGATGGTGGTGGTGGAGGGTCTTAGGGAAGATATTTGGCCAAACCATCACCTCCGAACGATCCTGTTCATCGCAGGATTGTAAATCTGTAGCCCCGTGGTCGTGTAAAGATTGAATTTGATACGACGTGATCCCAAAGAGACGCGGGCGGCCTCGTGGTCACCAGAGGGCTGACCCCCAAACATGCCGTCGGACGATGTTCCAACGACTGAGGCCAGACCACCATGGAGCGGTCGCCACCATCGGGAAAACAAAGCGGGAGCAGAAATAGAAGCAGTTCAGAACAAAAAAAAAACAAGAACTGTAGATGACAACCCGAAACTAAATTTTATGCAAATCTCAACAAGTTCACTGGCACGAGGAACAAAATATCGAAGGGTTTAAATGACGTTGGCGGAGAGAGTCGTCGGAGCGCACGACGCTGCCATGTGGCGGCTCGGAGATGCGGCCGTGCGGGTTTTCCGCAGGGCTCATGGGAACGGAGTCGCACGTGGCCTCTGGAGCCGGCCTCCCCGGTGTGCAGCGCTCAGGGCAGGCGTCGTCGCGGAATTCAAGAGGCTGATAGAGGGTACCGCTTACGAGAACGAGATTGAGTCTTCCGTGGGCAGAACGCCCCCCCCCCCACCACCCCCACCACCCCCACCCCCCCCGTGCCGTTTGGCTGAGTGTTCGGTTACCGTGCGTGTAACTGTGGAGCGTGTCGGCGCTGGTTTGAGTATCAGTGGTTGTGTATGCTAGTGAGAGTTGAAAAGGTGATTGCACACGCGTGGCGATGGTGGTTTGTGTCTGGGGTGGTTTTGTCTGCTTGTGTGTGTGTGTGTAGTTCACGTGTGAGTGTTGGGTGTGTTGCCTGCGCGCACGTGCGCGTGTGTGTGTGTGTTAGTGGGTGTGCAAGGGGTGATATGAGAGCGCAGTGTTCTGTGCCGTGCTCCCAGTGACCCAGGTTCATAAACTGCCCATGCACAACAGCAGTGATAAGTGATCTCGTAACCTGGCCTGGGCACCTCTTTGGTCAAGTCGGTCTGAAATTAGTGGTGCAGTGTACCATCAAACCTCGGGGAAACAAAGGCGGATAAATTAATTGTTGACCCCATCAGTGCGACCGCCGCCTTACAGCACTTCACCTACCATGTCTACCGGTGTCAGCGCGAGTCTGTGTGGGGTGCACTGGTTGTGTGTGCACACAGATACGGCTGTGTCGTGGGCTCGTTTGCGTGCGAGACTGTGAGGTGCGTGTGGCTGCTGTTGTCGATGTTCGTTTGGGTGTGCACGCGTGTTTTGTGCAAGAGCGTTTTCAGTTCGTTTGCCTATATTCGTGTCCCATCTGTTGCGTGTGAATGTTGAGTGTGTGCGAGCATGTGTGCGTGCGTGTGCGCGAGTGTATGTGTGCGAGCATGTGTGCGTGCGTGTGCGCGAGTCCGCGTGCGTGCGCAGTCTGACGCCACCACCCCATAGTCCTCATGGCAGCGGCCACATGGGGCAGAGTCCGAGAGCTGCGCGCGGATGCCGTCCCGTGCGAGTCGAGCAATTCGAGCGAGTCGTGCGCCGAGAGATGGAAACGCCACAATAACGATTCGCCGCGTTTAACTTCCCCTTAGAGAAGTAGGAGACGAGCAATGCGCCGTGTTCCCAAACGGAATTGTGTCTGCTGCAACGGCCCCCGCCGGCGTCGCGCGCGGCGCTGGTGAACGACGCGTTGTACAGCGGCCTCTTCGCTGCGTCTCTCGTCGGACGGTGCTCATCGTGCAGAGCTTTTGATTCAGAACTCATTTATTGCATCCTCAGTGCATTTATTTGACAAATGATAAGGGCGGTTAGTTTACCCTGCTTGAGGAAAGGGACACGCGGTGTTTTTGCAGGACACACATTTGCATTGGCCTTCGAAATTGACTAATGAGGGTATATTCCTGATAATGGCACTTAAGAAAATTACAGATGCATCTCTACCAACGTCATTTCGCCAGAGGAGAACCTGCAGGTGTCTGAACAACGTGGCCGTGTAATAACGGTGATGTTTCAGATCTTGTATTTTGTCCGCAATTGGTTACGGTGCGGCCACGGCCGCCATTTGTGGCTGATGATGTCAGAGGATCGTCGATGATGTCAGTTCCACGGTGGACTTCGTGTTGAGACAACACTTCCTCTCTCTCTGTGCCCTGCGGTAGCGAAGCGGCCCGCTGCGAGAGACCCAACATCCGACTCGTTCCACGGTAGCGGTAACGGCACGCATAAGGTGCGCAGTGGCGCGCGTACGGCACAGAAGCTCCTCGGCCTTGGCTAGACCACGAGCGCAAAATAACTCAGCATGTGGCCGTGTTGTCGTATGGAGCTACCGACTCGAAAGAGTTGGGAAAATGTGGCCATCCCAATGGGGAGCAGTGAAACAGATGGGCTCCCAGGGCCATAGGCCAGTAGGGAGCACTGAGTACTGATGAGTACAAATGAGGACAAATCCGGTCTACAGTTGCGGATTTGTTTCACTCGCCCATTGGGACGGCCACACATTTTCTACGAGTTGGTGGTTCTAAAGGAAAAGGTGGCATGCCCACTCAGTTCTTTTGAGCTGGTGGTCTGGATAAGGCTGATAGTTTTTTTGTACAGGCATTGCTGAACACCTGCGTGTGTTGTTAAGTCTGCACTCACGTTCCTCTTGTAATGGGGTTTCCCGTCATATTTACAGGCTCTAATTAAGTTGCGTAGCACACGGCAACTTGAGCTGGGAGGTGGGAGAAGGGTCTCACGTGGTCCTCTCCAATCCCCCCCCCCCCGCAGGGAGAGTCGCTGGCGTTTCAGAGACCGAATCTGTGCCCGACACTTGCCGTCCGTGAGCACTCCGAGCGTGGTGCCCCCGATGGGCTAACGGACACGAAGGCCTCCAGTGAGAGGAAACGCCGCCACTCTCTGCTCTGCGAAATAGCCGTTCGAAAATCTGTCTCTCTCTCTCTGGCTGTCTCTCTCTCGCTGTCTCTCTCTCTCTGTCTCTTTCACAATCGGCAAAGAGGGGGAAACTTGTCGGGAGCACACGACGTGTCGCCACGCTCGCAGCCACGCATGTGCCGTGCGTGCTTAAACCACGAGCCCTCGACACGGCACACGAGGACGATGGCGACGGCTCTAAAGTGTGAGGAATGTTGCGTAATGTTTGAGCATGTCTATGAGAAATATTATTCAGCAGCAATGGAGTATTTGAATAATTGACAAAAGTGTTTGTATTCCATCCGCATATTTAAATATGTTTTTACCAGCTCTGACCTGCGTACACTTTGCCTATTGATCCACTCGAGCTCTTTGAGAATTTATAAAAACCCTATGACATCGCAGTGGTCACGTCCCGTTCATTTTGCCGGGCCGACGCAACGGGGGCGGTCGGACGTGGGCGACGCGTCGCTGCGCGAGCCACGTGTTGTGCCATCAACTCATCACGGTCAAACGTGACGGGACGGCCCACACTCGCCGTCTCCCACCCTTCGCACAAATAAACCCGTGTGGACCCACGGTGTCCATGCCAACGTGTTTCATGATGAAGTTCACCGGCGATTGGCTCTGCCATTGCCCCCAGCGTAACCGCACCACCGCCCTCCCGGCGTGCGGCTCCGATCGACTCCTCGGCTCCGACTCGTCACGGTGGCGAGAGGGGCGCCACGGTGGCTAGATGTTAACTACCTCGCCTAGTATGCAAGAGGTCGTGGGTTGGATCCCGACCCTGACTCCTGTAAATTTGGAGTTTGCTGTCTCTCTCTCCCCCCGTGGTCACGTGGATTTTTCTCCAGTTCTCCGGTTTCTCTATTCACATTTAGGATCAACATCACAGTGCGTTTGGAGTATTCGGCTGCTGCTATAAATGTCCACGTGATAAGCCAACACTTTGTTGAGCTTTCATTCATGGCCAGGTCGCTTCTGAAAAAGAGCTACGTAGCTCAGTGGGCCTTACCTGGTAAAATAAAAAATAGTTTATAGTTTTGTTTAATTGCTCGAGCAGGATGGGCTGATCGATATTGCCAGAGGTAGCACTGAAGTCCAAAACAACAAGAATGCCAGTCAAGCCTAAATCTGGCTGTAGGAATTGGTCTCCAACTCACCGGTGAGTGAGCCAAAACATTTATATTCAGCTCATTGGTAAGCGCTATGCGCGCACAACGCTGACTTCATTCGGTTGTGTCAAGTGGTGGAGGGTCTTAAATAAAAACTCGAGTTGAACTCCCGGTCAGGGGTCAGCTCATCTCTCCCTCGTGGGATCGAGGACCACGTTAGCGGATTGTGGCCTGGCCTCTGTCGACGGCCGCCGCATCCCTCGTGAGCAGGGCCGTGGCGTCGTGCACAGCAGCGTCCTCAGGGCTGTCCAGGCCGAGGACTGGGCGGCTAAAGCTGGGGGGTAGAACCGGGAGTTGGCTCCGAGGCATTTCTATCCGGCTCAGACGAGCTACCAGGCGGTGCTCGTCTCCCGTTTACAGCCCTGAGCCAATAGTGGAAATTGCACATTCCTCTGGTGGAGGGGTGGGCGAGTCTCCACATCGAACAACGAATGGAGAATTAGGAGTTGGGAGGAGGGGGTTATCAATGTCGGTCAAATTTGACTTCCGATCGCACAACGCACACGGTGCTCTGCTAAGGCTGTGCATCTCTTGAGAAGCGCGGCCACGAGGGGTGTGACTGCGCGGGGGGGATGGGGGAGGCGGGGCCCGGGGCCCGGGGGGCAGGGTAAGGGGGGGGCAGCAGGGTAAGGGGGGGGGACAGGGTAAGGGGGGGGACAGGGTAAGGGGGGGGACAGGGTAAGGGGGTAGGGGGGGGGGCTCAGATGCTGAGCACACGGGACAGCTTGCGGTAGGCACGGCTGCTGATGTCCAGGCGGCCCCGCTGCCGCGGCCGTGATGTGCACTCGTGCTCCTTGAGCTTGTTGTAGTAGCCCGAGAACTTGTTGTACAGGATGGAGATGGGCAGGCTGTTGAGGATGATGCCGAACGAGATGCAGCAGAAGGCGAGCGCCTGGCCCAGCACCGTCTCCGGGTAGATGTCGCCGTAGCCCACCTGGGAGATGCTCACCTGCGCCGCGGGGTGGGGGGGGTGAAGGAGGGGGGGGGGGGTCAGAGATCCGGTCGCGGCGCGCCCCGCGTCGGAGTCTGACCCTGACACGGGCTTCCCACGAGGCTCGCTCGGCCAGGAAGGCGGCCGTGGTGGCTCCTGCGCGCGTCGCCCCCTACTCCGGCGCCGTTGTGGAGGCAGCAAATGTTGCAGGCTGGCTCGACGGGAGAAGGCGGTGCATCAAAAGAGCGGACTGATGTCGTCTGCCCCTTCTGTACGGGACAGACGAGGGCTGGCTGCGTCCTGGCACGCGCCAGTTTTCTCCTCGTGCCTCGGGTTTGCTCCCGCACGCATAAACCCTCTCACGAATTGGCTGAAAACAAATCGAGAACTGCAGAGCTTGGGTAATTTGTTGGTGCCGTCCCGCCGTCTGCCCACTGTTCACTTTCTCGCTCGTCGGTGGTTTATCCTCTCACCTCCGAGTCGAAATCTCTCTCTACGAGAGCGAGCGAACTCCCTGCGTGGTGGCGGTACAGCAGTGTTACAGGTTGACACAATTATTGTCTGGTGCGTCTGAGCGCTTGTGTTGGTTGTAGTTGCATGGCGGACGAGTCTGTCATGTGGCGCTCTGCGGGCAGAGTTGACGAATAATAGAGTCCCTGAACACCAAACGCCTGATACACGGTACTGGTATCGTATTAAAATACCAGTTGTGTCTCCGTGTGTCTCGGTGTTTCCGTGTGTCTCAGTGCGTCTTGGTCTCTCCGTGTGTCTCAGTGTGTTGCCGTGTGTCTCAGTGTCTCTGTGTGTTGCCGTGTGTCTCAGTGGCTCTGTCTCCGTGTCTCTCAGTGTCTCCGTGTCTCTCCGTGTGTCTCAGTGTGTTGCCGTGTGTCTCAGTGGCTCCGTGTCTCTCAGTGTCTCCGTGCGTCTTGGTCTCTCCGTGTGTCTCAGTGTGTTGCCGTGTGTCTTCTAAGCACATCGTGAGAAGCTGGACGAAACGGCGATGCGCTCTAAAATTTTACCGGTTTGATGCAACTGCTTAACCACAACTGACCTATTTGGATCTGTATTGAACCAGTTAACCCAAATGTAACAAAAGTGTTCTAAAGCCTGTTAACACGCAACAATACTCGGGGTGAACAACGAGGCGATTCGCGTCCATTCTTAAACCCCGCAAAACGCGCGCCGCACCGCGTACTTAGGGATCGGCGTTTCATTGTTCGTTGCGTCTTGCCATTCTATTTGGTTCGCGTGGCTCCTACAGCCACTGAAGGCGCGGCCATTCACCACGACGTGAAGACGGTGACCCGTCAAGTGACTTTATGACCCTGAATTGCGGTGACCCTTCGCGATTCGGGGCGCCTAGCGGGGGCGGGGGGGGTCCACCACCGCCTTCCGTTTGTCTATCAATCTCAGGGCTCTCCTCCTTCCAGTCGTCATGGAACGTTGGACCACGTGCCAACGAGCTGACGTTGGCCAGCGTGTTTTTTTTGCGGGCGCTCTCTCTTTCTTCTCCCTGGGGTGTGTGTAGCGGTTGGCGTGCCATGATACGAACCCGGCGATTCCCGATCATGGCCAGCACCACTGACGATTATCTGAACCGGTGCTGGGCCTCCCCTAGGTAGACTCAGCCTCAAATGAGTACCTGGTGCGGTGTGTAAACATTACCACTGGGGAGACAAAGGCCGTCGGGCGTGGTGCTGGTCACCCACCCTCTCGTGTTACCGTCCCGGCCTTCATAGGTTCTCGCTAACCGCACTTGCCCCTACAGCCTGTCAAAGGCTATAAGGGGGGTCTTTGTCTCACCGCGGCCCACCACCACGAGCCGGGGATGCTGGTGAAGTTGGTGCCGGGCGAGTCGTGCTCCGCCGAGTGCACCAGCGCCGAGAAGATGAAGATGCCGATGGCGATGAAGAGGAAGAGGCAGCCGACCTGGTGGTAGCACTGGCGCAGCGTGAAACCGAACGCTCGCATCCCCGTCGAGTGGCGCGCCAGCTTGAGGATGCGGAAGATGCGCATGAGCCTCATGATGCGCAGCACCTGGCCCAGCTTGCCGACCTTCTCCACGGTGCGCACCTCCACGTCGAAGCGATCGCTCACCACCTGCTCTAACAGCACCTGCCGCCCGCACGTCCCAGCGTCGTGGTCACCACCACCACAGCGATAGCCGTGAGGTCTCAAACTCGCAACGCGCAGCATCCGCTCGCTCTCGACGAGAGAGAGAGAGAGGACGACTCGGAAGCGCAAAGCGAAGGAGCCACAGGCGAGCGGAGAAGGCAGCTCTGTGGTCCTCTATATATGAAGTTGTATCGGCCAATTATACATACAGATGGAACATCTACACCGCCGTCTCCTGGCAAGCCAGGGCATGGCACCTTCACGCCCACAGCAAGGGAGTTTCACGACATTTGTACGGTGATCCACCAACCCTCGCTGCATCGAAAGCGCGAGATCACAGAGCACGAGCAGCGTAGCCACCACCCGGCTATCATGCTCATCATTCACTCCGTCTATGTTTGTTTTTAGTTTTTGTTACAGCGGTTCTATTCCGGTTGGAGCCCTCTTGGCGGTGCCTGGAACTCGGGCCGTGTCTGTGGCGAACATGGGACGAGGGTTCACTGCCCCCATGCTACTCGTTGGTGCAGAGCAGCAGCTCTCATTTTACACGGAGGTGGTTGAGCTTGGTAATTGCGTCAAGAGGAGCGGAGTGGTGCATCGCTGTGATGCCGCCTCCCCCGTATTTGTGAATCGGGCGTTGAGCCGTGAGGATGTTCCACGGTTCTTTGCGGGTTGTTCAGAGTGGCCGTGCACAGCTGGCGGTCGTAAGCGCCCATAACCTCTGTCCACACATGGCCGTCACCGGTCGGACGATGTTGCTATGATTGCCCACAAAATCAATGCCGGTTATCATGTAATGACAATACTTGCGTTTGGATTTCGCCCAATACCGTAACGAAACATCTCGGAGTTTAGTTGTAGTTGTTTTGTCTCGTGGTGGGGTGGGGGGGGGCCCTTTATGGCTTTATGGCAGCTGTCCCTGTGCGACACGAGCTGACTTGCAAGCCAGTATTCGTCTGCCAGGAAGGGGCAAATTTTTACCGCGACAACCAGCACACAATTGCCCTGATATTAAAACGACGTCGCAGGGTCGTTAACGTCCACTGTGAAGCAAATGGCGCGTCTGTCATTTTACGGTTAATACACTTGAAGTATTAACCAGGTTGGCCTGCTGGACGCAAACCGCAAACATTCATATTTGTAGCCAGAGCCTTCAAATTATACTGCACTGGAGAGAGAGGTTGGTTTAGTTGATTTGGTCGATGCTGTTTTTTGTATTTCCAATTATATTCCAATTGTGCTCTCAGGATCTTGTCTGGACATTAACTCCTTTCCCTTCCGAACTCTCGCAGCGAGCAGCGGTGCACCGCCCTGTCCGGGAACAGCTTCACAAGATGACATCACGCGACTCCATTTGAAGTCATTTAAGTTGGCCTTTTGTATACGCATCAGGGTTGCACCTCTTAAATTCCCTGCTCAGAGTGTGTGCCACGTGTCGAACTAATTCTGGAAGTTAGCGAATCACAAGAGTGTGGGCGCAGTGGTAACACTCGTGCCTCACAGCAAGCAGGACCTGGGTTCGATTCCCGAATCGGGCGCCTTTCTGTGAGAGTGTATGTTCTCCCCCTGTTCTGCGTGGGTTTCCTCTGAAAGGGAGTGTTCAGACTCGACGTGGCTTTCCAGAGTAAATACAAATACTGTATATGATTTATCATTCCAACAGAAACTGAACTTGGTGTGGCCAATGGTCTGGAGGCTAATTCGGCTAATTCCCAGATGTGTCAGAGCAATGTCAAGGTCCAGAGCGTGGATACGGCTAAGCCACCCGATCAAGTGCAGCAAGCTAATAGCATTAACCAAGGAAAGCCTCACGACTTTTTCAGTATTCTGCTCCTTAGAATGTTTAATTAGATTATGTCTTCTTATCTTACTCCTCTTCGCTCCCTGTGGAGCATAAGACCGCAACAAGCATACGCCATGCCGGAGGTCTTTAGCAGCATTCTCTGCTTAACGCCAAGACATGGTCTTTAGTTTGTTTGAAATTGGGTTCTGTGAACGACGAGAAAACTCATCACAATGGAAACTTGAATTCATGCTGGAAACAAAGGAGATTGAACAATGCACTAAATATTGTCCAGACCACCAGCTCATTCGAACTGAATGTGTGGCCTGTTGGGATGGTCACATTCTCTCAACTCTTTGAGGTGGTGGTTCTAAACGACGTGGCCACACGTTCAGCACTGTTGAGCTGGTGGTGTGGACAAGGCTGGGAGCTTTTGTACGTGAAACGCTGCACACCCGTGTGTGTTGTTACATCTTCGACATTGTTTGGCCGGTTCCCTCTCTGCTTTGTAGTATTCCAACCCACGTGCCCCCCAGAAAAATATCACATCCACCCAATTGTACAGCATCGTGATGATGCGTTTGCCTATGGTGGTGGTTTTGGAAGGCCTTAATCCAGCAATGGGTAGAATCATGGCTGGTGATTATGATGAGCATGATCATGTGATTGATGAGGCAAGTGCTGTTAGCGAGCACCTATGAAGGCCGGTACAGCACACTAGGGGTGGGTGGCCAGCACCACGCCCGACTGCCTTTGTCTCCCCAGTGGCGATGTTTACACACCGCGCCAGGTACTAATATGAAGCTGAGTTGACCGAGAGGAGGAGCCGTGATGGATTCAGATAATCGTCGCTGGTGTTGTTGTCGTAAGCGGGAATCGAACTCTGGTGGCCGTATTAATAGAGCAGCGCACTGCACTCGCGAAGCTCAGGACATTTAAATTTAGTGTGCGTGCGGTCACGTCTCCAGTGGGTGATCCGTCAATCTCACTCTCCTGCACGAGCTCAGAGCTTGCGCAGTCCGGGAGGGTAGGACAGCTGTCGTTACCCGGGAGGGTAACGACAACTGTTGACGTGGCACCACTATTGGGGCTACGAAAGCCCAATCATTGCAATCCCCTCACAGGCTCAAACGTAGCGCTTGCATGTGCTGCCACGCACCATGATACAAATGGGGGGGGGGGGGGGGGGAACGGCCCCAGAATTGGCGTACGAAGTGGATGAATGCAACCGTTTAATTAATGTTTCTGTCGACAAAATTGTCATTCGAAAATCGCGGACCGATCCGGTGGTCCTCATGAAAGGTGCCAATGCGACTGCCAACGAGACGTCGGCCCTGGCGACGCTCACCTGGATGTAGAAGGGGATGATGGCGATGACGTCGACGGCGTTGAGGACGCTGCGCATGAAGCGCCTGAGGTTGGGCGTGCAGAGCAGCCGCAGCAGATACTCGGCGGTGAAGAAGGCGATGCACACAGTCTCCACGTGGTCGAGCGGCGTGGGACAGTTGCCCCACGCCGCCGCCGCGCCGACGCCGCCGCCAGCTCCGCTTCCGAACAGCCCATCGCTCATCGTGTTCATGGTCATCGCCGCGATGGACAGCAGCACGAACAGGGTGGACGTGACGGACACGAGCTTGGAGGCGAAAGAAGACAAGGGCTTCTCCGTGAGGGTCCAGAGGCCGCGGCGCACCTCGCCCAGGCGCATCCCGTCGAACCCATCGTCGCTCGTCTCGCTCTCCAGCTCGCCCTCGAGCTCTCGCTGGACCTTGAGGAAGTCCGAGATCTCGTCCTGCCGCTCCTCGAAGAGGATTCTGCAGCAGAGCTTGGCGTGACGGGGCCTGACGCCCCAGTACTCGAGCTCCTCGATGAAGTTGCGCGGGCAAAGCGAGTCGCGCACCCATAGCGTGCCGGCGCTGTACCAGTTGAAGACGTGCGCGAACGCCAGCGGGTCGCGGTCGAAGAAGTACTCACGCCGGCTCGGTGAAAAGTCGTCGCACAGGTCCAGGCGCCTCTCCTGCTCCGTGTGGCCGGCCAGACGGCCCAGCCTGGTCCTCGGGTACTTGGTCACCGCGTGTCTGGGAATGCGAAATCGCTGCCCTCCCACATTGATGCGGAGCAGCCTCTCACCAGGCCCCCTGCACGCGCCGGGAGCCGGGCGCGCGCTCACGTCCGTGGTGCGGCTTCTGGGAAGGGCGCCGCCGTCGTGAGTGCTTCTGCCACCCCCACCTCCTCGGGTTTCATCTATGCTGCCGTCTGGGGTGGGTCATGATAAGACAGCACTGAGTGCGGACCTGCCCATAAGTCTCGCCACGTCTCGGGACTCATTAGAGGACCGTGCTATGTGGTTGCACAATGCTCTTCATGCAGCCCACCAGCCCCCACGTCCACAGCACTGGCTTGTAGCCACGCACCACCACGCACCACCACGCACACCACGCACCACCACGCACCACTACGCATCACCAAGCAACACCACGCAACACCACGCACACCACGCACCACCACGCATCACCAAGCAACACCACGCACCGCCACACACACCACGCACACCAAGCACCCCCACGCACACCAAGCGCCTCCACGCACCACTACGCACCACCACGCACCACTACGCACCACCACGCATCACCACGCACCACCACGCACACCAAGCACCCCCACGCACAACCACCACGGACCACCACGCACACCACGCACCACTACGCACAACCATCACGCACCACCACGCACACCACGCACACCACGCACCACTACGCACCACCACGCACCACCACGCACCCCACGCACCACTACGCACAACCACCACGCACCACCACGCACACCACGCACACCACGGACCACCACGCATCACCACGCACCACCACGCACACCACGCACCACTACGCACAACCACCACGCACCACCACGCACACCACGCACACCACGCACCACTACGCGCCACCACCACGCACCACCACGCACACCACGCACCACTACGCACAACCACCACGCACCATCACGCACACCACGCACACCACGCACCACCACGCACACCAAGCACCACCACGCACACCACGAACACCACGCACCACCACGCACCACCACGCACACCACGCACCACCACGCAACTCACCACGCACAACCACGGACCACAACGCACACCACGCACCACCTCGCACCACCACGCACCATCACGCACACCACGCACCACTACGCACCACCACGCACAACCACGGACCACAACGCACACCACGCACCACCTCGCACCACCACGCACCATCACGCACACCACGCACACCACGCACCACTACGCACCACCACGCACCACCACGCACACCACGCACCACTACGCACCACCATGCACCACTACGCGCCACCACGCACCACCACGCACAACCACGGACCACAACGCACACCACGCACCACCTCGCACCACCACGCACACCACGCGCCACCACGCACCACCATAACAACAACCGCCATTCGCCACTAAGTGGCGGTGACGTCACCACGACGCTTGTGCCAGGCCATGTGCACGTTGAGGCCACATGAAGTGTCGAAGGCCAGCTGGCAGGTCACGGGGCAGACCCAGCAGGTGCCACGGGTCGACTTACTGAGGTGACTGGCTGATGCACCACCTGTGCCCCCTACCGTGCCAACTTGCTGTGCTTTAGCGACCCGGCGCTCCGCTCGTTGTTGTGAGTGTCGCTCCTCCGTCCTCCGTTGTTGTTGGAGTGCGACTGCCTTCAACTGCCCAGCAGCGTCCTTCACGAACCTCCTCCACAGAGGACGATCTTGACACTGCTGGTACCAGTCATCGGGAAGTCCACTCAGCTCCACATCCTCCTGTAACACATCACTCCATCTCTTCTCTAGCCCGTGCTGCGCCGGTTTAGCCCCCTCGATCCGGCCAAACAAAAACTGTTTGGGCATGCGGTGGCTGGGCATGCGGGCTACACGACCCAGACAACGCAGCCTTGCCTGTCGGAGGAGCTCACCGATGGGACTTTGTCCAGATCGTTCAAGGATTCGTGAGCACCTCACACAATCCAGCCTGGTTAAACTCAGGATAGATCGTAGGCAGGCCAGCCTAAATGCTTCTAATCGGCGAAGATGTTCCACTAGGGGGGTCCACGTTTCGCAAGCCTAGAGAAGGGAGGGAATGACTATGGCCGAGAAGACCTGAAGCTTCGTGCGGAGCGACAGACCAGGTAGCTTCCACATAGCGTTACGTAACCAATGAAAATATAATGCCGCTCGACTGATTTGGAGTGAGACCTGTGCTGTCAATTCGGAGCCGGTCATGAGCACACTGCCCAGGTATGGGAAACTCTCCACTCTCTTCACAACTGCCCCATCACCAATTGGGAGTTGTGGGGGTGGAGTGTCCAATGGTACAAAATACCCAGGCAGGTGCTTAGTTTTGGTGGCGCTGATGGTAAGGCCCCACCTCTTAGTGGCAAGCTCCAGGTTCAGCAGCAGCACCTGCAACTCCTCCTCTGAGTGAGCAGCAATTACCAGATCATCGGCATACATAATAGGGAGCCATCCCTTGACCGCACCCGGGCATCGATCCGCCTCCCATTGTATCTGTACTAGATGGAAATTCCTCCAGTACAGCTAGTGAAGGCTTCACGAATTACGTGGTCGAAATAGATGTTAAATAATGTGGGAGCCAGAGGACATCCCTGTCGCACCCCAAGGTGTACAGGGAATGGCTCCGACTCTCGGCCACGTAGTTTTACCCAGGCCCTCTCACCATAATGAAGGTCCTTAATGATCGTGAGCAGAGAGTCAGGGATTCCGAAAGCACGAAGAACAATCCAGAGCCCAGGCCTACTGATGGTATCATAGGCCTTGACCATGTCAATAAAGCAGAGATGTAGGTCTTGTTGGAATTCCCTACATCTCTGCTGTAGCAGACAGACAAAAAATATGGCATCTGTACAGGACCGCCCTTTCCTGAAACCTCATTGGGGCTCTGCAAGCCTCTCCTCAGGGTGCCTAACAAGGCGATGTTGAATAATCTTTGCCAGGACCTTTCCCGGCACACTGAGAAGTGAGATGCCTCTGTAGTGTTACAGTCTGTACGGTCCGCCTTCTTAAAGAGGGTGACCACCAGGGCATCCTTCCAATCTGGCAGAACCCGGCCAGTGGTCCAGACTGTTGTTATGATGTCATGTAGGGCAGTCTGTGCACAAACACCACCCTCCCTCAGCATATCGCTTGGGAGATCATCTCTGCCTAGTGCCTTTCCTGGTCTCAGACTCTGGATCGCCTTCAATACTTCCTCAACAGATGGCACCTCAGCCAGCCACTCACAGAGGGTGACTTCTTCCAATATTTGAGGCGCCTCAGCAGGGTCATCCCCACTTTGCCCCATGTTGTTTTCCAGGCTGAGAGATTTCCCCTCCCCCAGGACCTCACAGAAATGCTCAGCAAATCTGCAAACCTGTTCCTGGGGGTCGGAGATTGGATCACCGTTCTTTCCCCTCATGATGGTAATAGGTATGACGCTGCAGGTTGATTTTTTTATGGAGTTAAAGAGCAATTTGTGATCGCGGGCCATTGAAGCAGACTCCATCTCCTCAGCAACCCGCGACCACCACCCATCCTTGCAGCACCTCACGGCTCTTCGAACCTCCGAGAGAAGGCTGCGGTAAGCCTCCTCATTCTCTGACGTGGGATGCTGTAGCCGATGAGAGTGGGCCTGTCACTTTTTCTCAGCCAGCCTGAACACCTCCTCTGTCAGCCAGGATCTCTGGGGAGGTCTGGACTGTGTACCCAAAGTAGCCATTGCAGCTGCATGAGCTACAGTCCTAAATCTCGCCTATTTCCCCTTGACATCAGGAGGAGTGGGGGACGATGCCAACCCCAGTCGCAAGCGATGATGAAATTCTCACTTGCAACTTTCATCAGCTAGCTGAGACCATGCCACTAAGGGTTTGAATGGGGTCCTGGGTGTACACCCACCACCGGAGTGGAAGAATGGCAGGCGCATCTTACAGATGACAAGTCGATGGTCAGTGGGCAGATCAGCTCCACGGTAGGTCCTGGTGTCAAGGACATGGGCCCGCATCCGCTGTTCCGTCACTATGTAGTCCAGCAGATGTTCTTGCTGAGACCAGGCATGTACACATGATATTGTGTGGATGTGCTGATGCCGGAACAGCATGATGGTAATTACAAGCCCATGGGCTGCACAAAAATCTAGCAGCCTCCTGCCGTTGTTATTGAGCTGATCTGGCCCATGCCTTCCAATCACTCCAGACCATGTGCCAGCATCATGACCAACTCGGGCATTGAAGTCACCCAACAAGATGACTATCTCGTGGGGCCACTTTAGCTAGCACCTGTGACAGGAGGTCATAGAATAAACACCACCATGCACCACCATGTACCACCACGACCACCAAGCACCACCATGCACCACCACGCACCACCAAGCACCACCATCCACCACCGTGCACTACCAAGCACCACCATGCACCACTACGTGCACCACCACGCACCACCACGACCACCACGCACCACCATGCATCACCACGCACCACCATACACCACCACGCACCACCAAGCACCCCCATGCACCACTACGCACCACCACGACCACCACCAAGCACCACCATGCACCACCACGACCACCAAGCACCACCATGCACCAGCACGCACCACCATGTACCATCAAGCACCACAACGCACCACATGCACCACCATGCACCACCACGCTCTACATGCACCACCATGCACCACCACGCACCACCACGACCACCATGCACCACCACGCACCACCACGATCACCACGCACCACCATGACTACCATGCACCACCACGCACCACATACACCACCATGCACCACCACGCACCACCACGACCACCATACACCACCACATGCACCACCATTCACCACCACGCACCACCACGACCACCATGCACCACCAAGAACCACCATGCACCACCGTGCACCACAATGCACCACCACGCACCACAATGCACCACCGTGCACCACCACGACCACCATGTGTCACCATACAGCACCACGCACCACCATGTACCACCATGTACCATCATGCACCACCACGACCACCATGCACCACCACGCACCACCACGACCACCATGCACCACCATGCACCACCACGCACCACCGTGCACCACCATGACCACCGTGCACCACCACCAAGCACCACCAAGCACCACCACACACCACCATGCACCACCACACACCACCACGACCACGATGCACCACCACGCACCACCATGCACCACCACGCACCACCACGCACCACCACGACCACCACGCACCACCATGCACTACCACACACCACCGTGCACCACCACGCACCACCATGCACCACCACGCACCACCACGCACCACCACGACCACCACGCACCACCATGCACTACCACGCACCACCAAGCACCACCAAGCACCGCCAAGCACCACGTGCTAGACTTACGAGTACAATCTGATATAACAATACTTATTTACAACGCATGGAACCATTATTAATCAATTCAAGTCAAGTTCCACATTGATTTTGTTTAACCAGGCTGTGAGATCTCCAGAGAGTGGGATGAGTCGCACTTGAATGAGTGACCTGGCTCACGAAATGACAAAAGCTAAAACGTAAAGAACCAAACAGTACGCACTGTGTAGCAATAAGCAAATAGAATTCAGAGCAGAAAGAACCAGTCGTCGGGGAAGTCAACAGTAGGGCTATGGGGATACTCGCCCCTACCATATGAATGTGGAAATCCCACCACTGGCTCAGGGCTATGAACGGAAGCTGAGCACCAATGCCTCGAAGCTCATTTGAGCAGGGAATCGCTTTCGGTTGTTTTGACTCTCCGAGGCAGGCCTGTAGCCAGCTCCCCCCGTGACAGTGAGACGTCATTCAGGAGGAGAGGGAACCTGGGTGGTGCCAACGGGACATTCGCTGGTGCCGATGTGCAGGGCACACGCCAGCAGACCTCCCTAGCACTGGCCCTGATCCCAAGTCTCACCTCCTCTCCCAGCGTCTTGGAGCTCATGATGACGATGACCGTGATGGTGGCCATGACCACCATCATCATCTTCGGAGTCGGTCCCGCGCTCGCGATGACGACGATGATGACTACCACCACCCCCGCCACCATCATCGGCATCATTATGACCACCACCACCACAATCATCCTCGTCGGAGACGTAATAGTAGCTGCTCCTGCGCGGCTGTCCCGCGTGGGCGGCGCGCACGGACTCGAGGGAGTTGCGGGACTCGTCCGAGTCGCTGTCGCACCACAGGTACGCGAGCTCCTGCGCCGAGCTCCAGTGGCGGATGGAACTCTCCCGGGCAGCCTGCAGATCCGACTTGCCCGTGACGACTTCCTGGCGGCCCAAGACGAACTCGCTGAAGCGTCTCTTCAGCATCTCCCTCCCTGACTGACGACGAACGCGACAGCCGTGGAAGGCGCAGACGGACGTGGAGATGGTGGGGCTGGGAGACTAACAGAGATGAGAAGAGACCCAGTGCGGCAGGAGGCTCCGAGGGTTGAGAGAGGCGATTGGCAGATAGAGAGAGGCAGATGAGACGGGGAGAGCTCTGGTCAGACGCGTGTGGCTGAAGAGAGATTGATGAAGGGGGTATACACTGGTACAGCAATAGTATTTCAGGAAGAGCGATGTTTCAGGAGATATCTGAGAGAAGGATATCTGTACAACGGTTAATTGTACTGGAGATGTGTGCAGTGGCTGATGGTCGAGGAGATACCGCTGCACTAGAGATTCATTGGGAGAGATATATTACAGTCTTGTAATAGGAGAGAGAGCGCGTTATAGAATGCGAGAGATACTACAGGGGAAGTGAGGTAGAGTGTAATAGACGTTGCAGAAGGTGAGCCGGAGGGCGCCTGGCAGTCGAGGTATGTGCACACGCACAGAGTGCTGTCGGCTGCACACGCACAGAGAAGGGAGAGAGATGTGAAAAACGTTTGTCGGATAACAACAGCAGAGGTAACGGAGACTTCGGGTGCGTGCACGGGAGCACAGAGTCACAGATGTATTAGAGACTTAGAAAGAGGGGAGATAATGAGGGCGGCTGAGTTTGGTGGGATAAGCGCAGAGATTATTCACTTGCCCTCTCAAGGATCCTCTCGTGAAGGTGACGCAGTGTCCGTGATGAAAAATAAAATTGGTGTTAAGATGTTCAAACACGGAATCAAATCTGCATTAACCACGCATACATACCTGTGGCAAAACATGCAAACCAACATGCTCTGATGTTTGCATTGTCTTTGAAACTGATTGGTGTACACCAGAGACAGTCTTCTTGTCGGTGTTAGATCAGAGAACGCCAACAATCGAACAGTATATTTTGGATACTGACAAAAAGGTCCCATGAATATAACTACCGTTTTTGCTATTTTTATTTTACGTCGAGACCACTGAGCAATATAGCTCTATTTTCAGAAGCGACTTGACCACAAAGGATAGCCCAACGCAGTAACTCATCGCGAGAAAATGTAGAGCAGCCCAATACTCTAAAACGCATGTTGCTACATGTGTAGTGGAGTAGGAAGGTATGTAGTGCAAACAGTGTGATTGCATGGTAACAAAGACATTATGGGTTATGTTGGGTCAGCCTGTAGCGAAGGCAAATACAGTACAGGTTATGTTAGGGCAATTAAGCTGGGGGAGCCAAGGACGGCTGTGATTGGTTGGTGTTGTTGTCAAGGCTGGAGTGGCGTCTTGAAGTCTGGCAAAGTAACAGGTGCACGGGCACGCGAAGCGCCGTTGGGACGCAGGTTGATTAATTGGGGTGTGATGAGAGCGTGGATAAATTGGGGAGTCGGGAATTGGAGCGAGAGTTGGAGTTGGGAGCTGGACGAGGCAAGACGTGGAGCAGCGGAAGAGAGGAGAGTTTGGAGACAGAGTTGGAGATAGAGTTTGGAGACAGAGTTGGAGACAGAGTTGGGAGACAGAGTTGGAGACAGAGTTTGGAGACAGAGTTGGAGACAGAGTTGGGAGACAGAGTTGGAGACGGAGTTTGGAAACAGAGTGTGGAGCAGCGGAGCTGAAGAAGAGAAGCAGCTAGTAGTAGAGAGAGCGAAACGATAGCGGAGCTGAAGAAGAGAAGCAGCTAGTAGTAGAGAGAGCGTAACGATAGCGGAGCTGAAGAAGAGAAGCAGCTAGCAGTAGAGAGAGCGTAACGATAGCATAGCTGAATAAGAGAAGTAGCTTGCAGTGGAGAGAGCATACTGACGGTGATAGTGGAGAACAGAGACGAAGCAGTGGAGAAAGCATAGCGTCGGTGATAGCGAAGAGCAGAGACGGAGTAGCTCGCAGTGGAGAGAGCATAGTGACGGTGATAGCGGAGAGCAGAGACAAAGTAGTTAGCAGTAGAGAGAGCATACTGACGGTGATAGCGGAGAGCAGAGACAAAGTAGTTAGCAGTGGAGAGAGCATAGCGACGGTGATAGCGGAGAGCGGAGACGAAGAAGTTAGCGGTGGAGTAGGCGCAGTAATAGTGGGGAGTGGAGAGACAAAGGTGGCGAGCGAGTCGAGTGAAGCATGGCGAGCGAGACGTGGCGACATGGATACTGTGGAATATTGAGGACATGCGGAGAGTTGTAAATAAAGCGGTGTTAGAAGAAAGTCAAAAGTTGTCCGAGTGAAAGCGAACACTACATTTGGTGTCAGAGTGACTAGGAACCACGCCGACATGTCAAAGAAGGCGGCCAAGAGGAAGAACGTGCCGGTGAACTCGTCCAACGACAGCAACGACGAGGACGTGCTGCCCGTGTCCGGCCAAGTGGCCGATACTCCTCCGGAGGGCCTGGTCGAACGAGAGTCTGCAGAACGAGACGGCGGTTCGAGTGAGGCCGAGATCCCGGGACCGTCGGGTGATTGGAGAGTCCTCATGGCCCAGTGGGAGGCCAGGATGGCAACATTGACGGAGGCGTTTAACCGCTTTGTAACAACGGACCGAGTACAACCGACGGTGTCAAGTCGACCAGCAGATGTTGCCACGGGGTCGGAGCGAGTGGGGCCGAGATCCCAGGACCGTCGGGTGATTGGAGAGTCCTCATGGCCCAGTGGGAGGCCAGGATGGCAACATTGACGGAGGCGTTAACCGCTTTGTGACAACGGACCGAGTACAACCGACGGTGTCAAGTCGACCAGCAGATGTTGCCGCGGGGTCGGAGCGATTGGAGAAATCCGATGACGATGAAGCGCCGCCGTCGGGAACATTACGGCGACTTCATGTGCAGCAGTTCGAGGCCAAAGTTGGTGATTGGACGGCATTTACAAGACGATTCCGAGCGGCTTATCAATCTCTGGAGTGGACTGAGGGTGCCGCGCTGCGGGCACTGCCGACGGCCCTCGATGATGATTCTTTGGCGACATTTAATGGATTCCCTGCCGCCGTCAGGTCAACGCTGGACGGGGCATTCGCGGCAATGAGAAAGGTGTACGAGCCGTGGTCGGTCACCAAACGTAGATTCCAGCAAAGGAAGCGGGAGGGCACGGAATCCCCTCTTGCGTTCCGCAGCGCGCTGTTGGCCCTCGCTCAGGTAGCATACCCGGCGATGGACCAGGAGGCCTTGGATTCCTTGCTGCAGGAGAAGCTTTTGCAGTTGGCGAAGGAGCTACGAGTCATCCTTTCGCTTCCTGACAAGCAACAACAACGACGACATGTCGTCTCTAGAGATCGCCAGGAACATCCAAATCAACCTGGACCTCCGCGACGAGCCAGCGGTGGTAGGTGCGCAGCCACTGCTGCTGAGCGCTGCCACGTCCGGGAGCGCGGTGGTGGTGGACGAGGCACCGTCGATTGCAGCGGCGGCCGGGGCGTGGGCATGCTGCGTCGCCCCGCGGTGTATGGAGGTGGCACGCAGCGGACGTGCTACGAGTGCGGACGGAGAGGACATCTCGCCCGCGACTGCTGGCGACGCAGGGGCGGCCTTCCAAGGGCGCCGACCAGCTACAACCGAGGATTCCCCCAGGACTGAGGATTCCAGGTGAATCACGATACATTCAATACATGGCCGCTCTTTCCACATCACCCATCTGCGTCATCTCACCCATTCACATCTCATTCGTATGTTGCGCACGGTCAGGACGTATGGGGCGCATTGGTGCATCGTGTCTTGGGAGCTGCGCTGGGGTCGTCGGATGTGATGGCACTTATTCAAGGGGTGATGGTCAGGGTTATTGTTGATACGGGGGCTTCTGCGACCCTTATCTCGGTACAAACTTTTCGCTCATTGCCAACTTCGCCCCAGGCCCTAGAACCGGTTGACGGGCCGTGCATAGCAGCAAATGGTGGCAGCCTCGGTATTATGGGTTGTATGGTCACGACGATTCAAATTGGGGAAGTGAGCGTTACGGGGAATGTTTTGGTTTCCATGGCCTTGGCGGTACTGTGTTTGCTGGGAACGGATTTTTTGCGAAGGATGCCGCTTAAAATTTCTATAGAGAAGGGGTGTTTGGAATTGCCATCGGGAAAATGTCTAAAATTTTTGGGAACGCCGTCTAAGTTCGCGGTTGCGAACGCCGTGGTGCAGGCCGTGGTAAGCCGCACCGTTCGTGTTCCGCCTGCCACGCAGATGCTTGTGCCGCTGAGCTTTAAAAAAACGGTTGCCTTTAGATGAGGTATATGGCTGACACCCTCAAATGCTGTATCACGGATGCCCACTTTGGTAGGGGCTTTGACTATTGTGCCGGCAAATTGCGACCCTTTCATACAAATTGTAAACGTGGGACACGAGCCGGTCGTCATTCAGGAGGGTACCACGTTGGCGCATGCAACGGCAGCGCCGGGTCCGGAAGGGGAGGCGTGTTTGGCAACAGGACAGAGTGATATGTTGCCGGGTGATGGAGATGATCCGGACTGGTTGGGAGATCTATATATGCAAAACCCCGAACTGATGCCTGTGCAGCGGTCGCGTCTCCATGGGTTGCTTGTGGAATTCAAAGATGTATTCAGTTCAGGTAAATATGACGTGGGTCGTACGTCATTGTTGCGGCATCACATTGACACTGGGAATGCACCCCCAATCTGATTGAATACCCATCGTGTGAGTCCACTGGAGAAAGATTGTATTCGGCGAGCCGTTGATGAGATGTTAGAACAGGAGATCACTTCTCCTTCGTCTAGCCCGTGGGGAGCTCCTATTATACACGTTAAAAAGCGCGACGGGGCCATGTGATTTTGTGTTGACTACCGAAAACTTAATAAGGTTTCTGTTGCAGAAGCATATCCACTCCCACGCATTGATGATTCACTAGACGCCCTGTCCGGCGTGAAAATTTTTTCGACCCTCGATCTGTTGTCGGGCTTTTGGCAATTGCCCCTGGATGAAGAGTCTAAACCGAAGACTGCTTTTCGAACACCACAAGGGTTGTTCCAATTCAATGTACTCCCGATGGGGCTCCACTCCGGGCGGGCCACCTTCCAACGATTAATGGAACGCGTGTTGTCAGGACTGCAGTGGGAGTCGTGTTTAATATATCTGGACCACATCATTGTTTTCAGTAAGGATTTTGACGAACATTTGCAACAGTTGCGTGCCGTTTTTGGCCGAGTGCGGCGCGCTGGTTTTAAATTTAAACCCTAAAAGTGCCATTTGCTAAGGACGTCGGTTAAATATTTGGGGCACGTTGTTAGCGCGTCTGGGGTGGCCACCGATCCAGAGAAGATGAGTTGCGTGCGAACGTGGCCAGTACCGAAAACGGTAGCTGAGGTGCGTAGCTTCGTGGGCTTCGCGTCGTTTTACCAACGATATGTTAAGGATTTTGCCATGTTTGCGAGGCTGCTGCACACGCTCACCATTAAGGGTATGAAATTTCAGTGGGGAAGACGTAGAACAACGATCGTTCGAGGCTCTGCGGGCCGCTTTGGCGGACGCACCGCCGCTTGGATACCCTGATTTCACAAAAACCTTTATTCTTGACACGGATGCCAGCGGCATAGGCGCGGTTGTGTCGCATATCGTGGATGGTGTTGAAAAAGTTGTGGCGTATGGCAGCCGGGTGTTGTCTCCAGCTGAACAGAAGTATTGTGTAACGCACAGGGAGTTGCTGGCCATCGTGCACTTTGGTCGATTGTACCGACCGTATTTGTATGGCAGAGATTTTTTGATCCACACTAATCACGCGGCACTACAGTACTCGTTGCGAGTTGACCAGCCATCGGGACAGATGGCCCGTTGGCTCGAGACCCTGCAGGAGTACTCTTTCACGATCCAGCATAGGAAGGGGACGCGTCATGTCAATGCTGACGCCTTGTCGCGATTTCCGCAACCAACTGGCTCATGTCGGTGTGCGGAGGGCTCGCTGCGTTGCGGTCCGCCGCTGCAGGACGTTCCGGCAATGGTCGGTGCAGCAGATTCAATTCGGCCAGAAGCGATTCCCGCTGTGGGATCGGGGTTGTTGGGTTTGAAGTTGGGTCAGTGGAAATGCTTACAGGTGGATGACTCCTCCCTGACCAGGATGAGGCTTCGTGCCTCTCGCTCAAGGGGATCGGAAGATCGCCCCTTTTTAAAACTTGTCGATGGTCTCCTCGTTCGCTGGGATGTTGAAGCACAAAAGTTCTGTATTGTTGTTCCGATTGTGTTGCGCGGGAAGCTCATTAGTGATACCCATGACAAATGTATGCATTTAGGGGAGAAAAAGACCGCGCTGACCTTAGGGAAAGAATTCTACTGGCCGGGGATGTATAACGATGTTCAGCGAGTTGTTAAAGCATGCCATGAATGTGTGCGGCGGAAGGCACCGGCGCAACCCTATTGTGTACCATTGCAATTGATACAGGTTTCGCGTGTCAACGAAATTGTCGCCCTGGATATATTGAGTACGTTTCCCGTCACCCCCCGGGGGCATAAGTATCTGCTCGTCGGGGTGGAGTACCTTACTCGCTGGCCTATGGCATG